ACAGGCATCGCGCGACACCATAAAACCGAAACAGAAAACGGAGAAGTATATGTATCTGTTAGATACAAAGGACAACGAAGTGTGGGCTGTGGGGGGTCGATGGGTAAAAACAAGCGAACGAAACTTCGCACATAATGAGTTTTTATGGGCTGTGTGCGAGAGAGAGCCTGCCTTTATATAGCCTTCACTGGACCTGTGCATTGTGCTTAGGGACCCTGGTTTCCAGCTTCCAGCTCCAGACCAGGACACAACCACCATCATCCTCATCATCATCATTATCTCCGCCATAATTGGGATTGCAGTCACTCCCGTTGACAAAACAGTTCTGTCCACATTTTTTCTGCGTGCACAACACACAAATCAGCGTAAAATTTGTCTACGGCCAAAGTTTTATGGAGCTGTAACTGCGACAAAGTGTGCTGCATTCGTCGGGAAACTGAGGAAGCTGTCGCTTTGGAGCAAAAACCGAGGGGGCTAAGTACATGGTTTACTGGGTAATAAACAGTGCAAGGCACCACGACAATGTTACAGATGCATGGGAAAACTACTCCGTCTGCCAGCTGCCCTCCACACACTGACAAAAAGTGCTTCAAATTTCCGAGCTGTGGTTCTACAAATCGAAATGGTAATAAAAACTGAGACTGCAGTAAGACATTGAAAACTAAAATTATAATTAATAACATATTTTAAATGTTCTTTCAGTCTAAACGATAATAAAACACTTAAAGTATTATTTGTTTTAAAGCTCAGTGTTTTACATTTATAAAAAATTGCTCATTATTTGTACAATATGATAAATAAGAACCAAAACGTTTCCAAAAATTACTCTACAATTCTTTTAAAAATCTCAGATATCATATATTTTTAAACAATTTTAAAGCAGTACATTTTCCCAAAATAATACAAATTAAGAGAAGTTTTTGGTTTAATCATTAAACCATTAAACCATTTCTGTATTATAGCTAAATTAAAACCTACAATTCAAGTTTGTAAGGCGAAAGTTTTAAGGACTAAGTTTTAATACCTCTGCTGTCTTATCCCTTGATGACTTGCTGAGGAAACCCTTTGAATTTTTTTTTTCTCAGTGGCGTAAATGCTAGGAAAATTTCAGTCATCCTCCGCCCGAGTGGCTGGATCATGACTCCGGTGAAACCGAAAACCGAGTGGATCAACTGCGGATTCACCTGGCTCTGATGTCCGGTTCGTAAGTTCGCCACTGAAGAGTTCAAGATGCCGTACATTGAATTACATTTCAAAATGAGACTGGTGAACTGGGAAATGGGGGCGTGTTGCAGTGGGCGTTGATGATGTTGAGCAACTGCTCATTAGCGTGGCTCACACGAAGCTATTAATTCAATTATTTACACTGTTTCTGGCAGCTGACAAGCCCCGCACCCGCACCCATTTCCATTTCCATCGCCCATCTCGTGTCTTGTTCCGGGAAACTGTTGCTCGTGGCCCGAGGAAATTTCCCAGACCCCCCACTCCTTTGGGGCAAAATGGGTAAAATTGGGGTGCAGATAAGCGGGTTGTGGACCTAATTATGCATATTAATTCGAATGTAATTTGAGTTGCGAAAGGCAGTTGTCTAGTGCCGAAATCGAACCTAAATAGTCTGCAGTCTGCCATGCAGTTGGCCCGAAACAGCTGCAATTTAGTTAAGATCATAATAGGGGATTTATGCAACACAAGAGCAGGGGCGGGAGGCGTGGCTGTAGGAGGTGGGCGACATCGGTGAGCATTTCATTAGCTGCGCATTTACATTTCATTGCACCCAATTTGTGCTGTCGCGTCAACAGTTGCCAATTCCATCGTCCTCGTTCCCTGATTCCCTGAATACCCCCATCTTGCCACCCCGAATGTGTGTGTGCGTGCGTGTAATTTAATTCGACGGTCGTGCCATAAAAATGAAATGCACAACGTGATGTGCAAGGACAAACAGGATGTGTTCATAGATCCACGCATGTTGCAAATTACTTTATCTACTCGGCACATGTAAATGCTAAGGCGAAACGAAAGCAGGCAACAAAAATCGGGTTAATAGTTGAGGCCTGGCCGGGCCGAAAAGCTAATCAAAGACAAGGACATTTCGCGTCGTTGCTTTTTCCTTGTTTTTGGAGGCCCAAAACCGGGAGTGTGACTCGCCTAACTTAAGCCCTGTTGCCGTGGCTAAAAATAGATACCAAAAGGTTTTTCGGCAAGGACATTGAAGTTGTTGTTGTGTAAAGAATCCCTTGAATGTCAGACATCAAAATGATCCGGCATGAAGGGATGAAGCTTATGCTTGGTTCCAATACATGTATTAAATTAGTTTAATGTACATGGATTAAAAATTTAAAATAAAAATTTAATTAATTGCTTGTTTTTCTTCTGCATTTTTTTATGGGTTTCATTTATAGAATTCCATTATTCGTGTATAAACAAACCCTTATCAGGATAAACATAAGAACCCATTTTTTTACCACTCAATGTTACATGCATTTAACTAATATAACCTCCAAAGAATTTAATTAATTGATTGCCCTCATTATGCATTTTTTTATGGATTCCAATTATAGAATTCCATTATCCGTACATACTTAAATTGCCCTTGAATGGGCAAATAATTCTACTGTCATCAAGGGTATTTTAGATTCGTCCAGCTGAGCGGCTTTCCTTGTTTTCATGGAAGTCAAAACGTGTCCTTGACAAATCCTTGGCAAAGTGAGACAGCTGAGTACTGCCACTACCACCTCTGCGCCCCTTTTTTTCCGCCAGTTACTCCGCCAGCATCTGCATCTGCTGCTGTTGCTGTTAATTATCCTGCCGTCGTGCTTATTACCTTAATGCCGGGTTGCGCATCGCGTTGAGTGCGCCACAAGCAGCCTGCAATTGCAATTGCCCGGACAATGCCATCCGGCTATCTGGCCAATACGGATACGGATACGTTGAGGATGAGGACGACGGCTACGTGCCACGGATGGCGGCCACAGGACCCGGCACTCTTATCCGCCTGTAATTGCCAGCCAGCAAATGGCCAATGTCAATTCTGAGGCCCACCACATCTCCACCCACCCCAAGAAAGCTAATTAAAGTGCACGCAAATCTGAATTATCTGCTGACATCGTCGGCGCCACAATCGTTAATGTGCATCCAAGCAAATGGTGCGAAATCGTGAGATAACTCCATTCGATTTCGGGGCATTGCGTATACGCATTGTGGTATTTTAAGCAGTTAATCGTGGAAGATAAAGGCAAATAATCCTATTCGGAAGGCACATAACCTGAGGAGTATTTTGTCTTACAAGTTTAATCGAGTTTGGCGCGAGCAAACAGAATGTTGAAATGTAGCCCTCTGGGCTTCTGATATTGCATATTAAGTCATGGGAGCATAAAAGAATAATTTAGTGTTGGATAAATATATTTTATCCATAAAGAATATTATGCAAAGTTGGCCAGTTTAAAGGAAACACAAACTACAAGTTGCTAGAAGAACAGGAAACTTGTATAAAACGTTAGTAAAATACTTAATAATGTCAGTTAAGGTTATTGAAGTACTACTCGTTTTAGTTGAGTTTTGTCATCACATCAAGGCCAATGGAATTAATGTAATTCATTATCAATTGTAAATAAACTTTTAATTTAAAAACATATAAATCGCATCATAATTTGCCCTTGAAAACAAACAATTTGATTTCTAGATGGTTAAGAAGACTAAATATTCATGTATCTAATAAAGTCTCTTTTAAAGTCATAATTTAAAATGGTTTTGAGCAACCGTAGAAGGGATATTGAAATGAGTTACTATTTACTAGATGGTCCCTTTCCACAGCCTTGGCTTGGCAATTTCTGGTTGGTCTCAAGTGAATCAAGACTATACATTTTTCCTACTTGCGAATTTATATTCATTACCAAACCCTTTTCTTTCAGCAAGTTTTGCTTGGGTTTCCCCCCCACCGCTTTCCCCGGCTGCTTATTTATTTGTTTTCATTTTCATTTTCCCGGCTGGCTGCCAGGCAGTAAGCTCTGAAATACCAAACGCTGGTAAATCCGAAGCCAAATCCACAGTCAAGGGTTTCCTTTTGGTCTGGTTAGGCATAAGCATAAGTTGACGACGTGCCTGCCGCAGGACCCCCTAAACCCAATCCCCCTTGTACATTCTGCCCGGCCCGACTATTTTTAGTGCCACTGATTTGTTTTGCCTAGTATTTGAGACCCTCCGTCGTCACTTGTGGTTTTGGCTTGGCACTTGAAGCGAGCCAAAACGGAAGAGCAAAAGAAAGGCATTTCTTAAAGTAACAACCGCCCGGGGTTCTATACCCGCAACCGAAACCGAAACCGAAACCATATGCGGACAGAGATCCTTTCTGTGCTTTTCTTTTGTCAGGATTAGAGCGTCTGTCTGCAAATGTACACTCTGAACAAACAGCCGGTCTAAATTTTGCGATCGTACTTGATTTTGGATAGTTATTATTTCAGGTACTTAAATAAAGCAAATAACACTGCTTCCAAACCCTTAAACATCTTAGAAAAGACTTAATTCAAGCGCAGAACTCTTAGTTCCAAAAAAGTCCTAATTGTAGTACGTTTTGTACTTAAAACAACAAAAAATCTTCGCATATTTCGATAAAGATTCTGAGCTCGATTGCTCGCCTTTCCATACAAAAAGCTTTCGAACCCAATTGGTTTTCCACAAAAATGTTTCGTACCTACACAAAATTGATATCTAACATATTTAAACATATGCTTAAAAATATAAATATTAAAAAAATGTTTGCCTATTTTGAAAAAAGGGATGTTGCTTTTAATAAGTACCAGGGATCGTAAAAAGTAATAAAATATTTGGTTGAAAAAATATAACAATTCAATGAGTATTCTTTGAGTATTACTAAATCGACATAAAGTAGACATGGTTAAAGATAAATTCCTACTTAGTTTAAATAAATAACATTTTAAAATCATTAAGTATTGTTAAAATTGAAAAGTTATTTTGTTTTTTCCCTAAGTGTAGACAGGACTCACCTTGACGAAGTGGTAGAAGAGCACGGCTCCCACGGTGGCCAGGGCGAACCAGACGAAGACGGCGAAGGTCGAGATGCTGGAGATGTCCAGGACATGGAGCAGCTGGGAGGTGATGATGGCGGCCGCCTGGCAGAACAGGAAGGGCATGAAGAGCCGCTCGAAGATGTCCCAGGGAATCTCGTGCGACTTCTGCGGCAGGGCCGAGATCGAACCGCGGCGCAGAGAGGCCCGACGCGATGCACGGCGCTAATGGACGGAGCAGATAGAAGACACGATTAATCACACACATATCTCCGATTTAATTATTCATTTCATTTCGGCGCATTAACATTTCGGTTTGGCTCTATAAATAGTCAGACCGAATTGCTGTGCGCGGAGATGTTTGTTTTGGGAATTATTTAAACAATTGCGGAACGTTGTTTGTTTGTGTTTTGATCGATAAACAAGGCGTATATATGCAAATTATTGCACACACTTATTGTTTTTATTCACAGGCAGAAAATGCTTGAACCAAAGCAAAGGCACAAAAGTGTAACTTATGTTTGACAGGTGTTTGGAATTCTCCTGACTAAGTGTTCAAAACAATTCCATCTTTAATGAAGCCCACTGTAGTTTTAATGAATTCAATTAAGTGTACTATAATTGCCTGTAATGCATTTGTTTTTTTTCGAACTTGTATTTTCGCCAGAAATTCTTTCTAATGTTCACAGAAAGATTCTTTTGCCTGCCAAAACAACAAGATCTGATGAAAGTCTTTTGGGGAATGGAATTCATTCAATTTATAGAATTTATTGACTCAAGACTTCCGTGTATTTAACATTTTTCAAATCAATAGCATTTCCACATGCGTGCTCTGCTCAATTCAATCCTTCAATGGCCGATGAAATGGACAGGCACTGGCAGTGGCACGTATTTGCCAACAATACATCATCGGCTATTTCATTAAAGCTAACCAAATGCAACCACAGGATCCAGGCACTTACACATGCTTGCATTTATCAGACCCTAACCCACACACACATTGACATTGACGTATAGCAATTACATATGACGTGCACAATACTCTCGAAAAAGAGGGAAAGCCACTGGGAAATGGGCCACAATGGCGAAATGGGGTGGGGAAAGCCCCTTTTGGCCATTGGCCATAAATCAACGACAGTGCGAAATAATCAAATGGTGGCATCTGCATAAATACAGAAGCCAATTGATTTATTCGGCCTGAAAATAAACCAATTCCATTTCGGTTCCTTGGACTATTTTCCTTCTCGACAAAATTGTTAAATTGCCTGATCTATTTATACTACCTAGTGGGTATAAAGGGAAATCAACGATGTCATTTCGTATTGCTTTCGTCATGCGGCGACCTTGCCACCGATTTTTGGATTAAGTTAGCCCATAGAGATGGGTTTTGTGACTAATGTCGCAGTCTGTAAGTGCCGCAATGGTCTTACATATGGCTGAATTCTGCCTGCGACATTTTTTCGAACCGATCTGTATGAATTTGTATTTATGTGAATACGCGTGACGATTTATGTACTTAATGGGGTCGCTCAGCTGCCAAGAAATCAGTATCTGGCGAATACTTATTGGACTGCGTTTGGTTTGTCTCCAAGCTTATTTTTATTATTAATAAAGATATGGATATGTATTTTTAGATGATGCGGACGAATCAAATGGAATGGAAACTTCTGGCATTGCAAATATATTTGCTCTGGCCCAAGATAAAGATGTATTAATTTTGAGGAATCCACTTTTATGGCCAATGTGGCCTCTGGAATGTCCATAATAGATTGCCTCAATACCATGGCTTTTATTGTAGAAATCGGACTATAATTAAGGTGTACTAAAAACATTTAAGTTGCACTTTATGGCCGCCGTCTGACAGTAGAATTTTGACAAGTCTCTTTTGGGCGGGGGGGGAAACACTTTAGTTTTCATTTTGTAAATTGTGTAGTGGCTCGAACGTACGTTGACCCACTTGGATCGTGGCCATTAAGTGAATTTTTTTAATTAATTTGGCGGCCCGTTCAGTACACCGCATGACTTCCTGACTGGCTCGGCGCTACTCTCCACTATTTCTACTTCACAAAGAAGAACGTTTTCTATGGCCAAAATGGGCGTGGCACTGGAATTCGTGTATTTCTGGGTTAAGCTAACTGGGCTAAGTGTGGCCTGGTATACACAACGTGGCGACAATAAATTTGGTCTGGGTAAACACGAGCACAAATGCCTTTTGCTTTTGCTTGTGGCCGGAGGGTAGATTTCACTTACCATATTGTTATCGAAGACCTGCATGACGGATGCTGCCAAGTGCTCCGGAAATAAAAGGTTTATCGATGGATTGGCAGGCTATTCACGGCACTCACTTTCCCGAGCGGGGAGTTCTAGTATTTCTAGTATTACTAGTATTTCAATACCACTGGTTTATCTAGTATACTTCGTTTAGTTTTTTTTTCAGATTCTTCGTTAAGCGGTACGATTTGGGGCCCGTGGCCTGGGCGCTCTGAGACACGACGTGGCACTAAGCGGTACGATCGAGTGCCGCTGCCTGCAGCCGCCGAAAATTTGCGCTCGCCGATCCGATCTCTGCCGACGTCGACGTCGCCGCCGACGTCTGTTGTATTTCAAAATGCTGCAGCGCAAAGGAATATTGTCGTTTTGATTTTTTAAAAATATATCCGAAGTATGTGCGGACATGCGTGTGCGAGATACATATTCCGCTATTCAGATAAATAAATATATTTAAATTTGTTGCTGCTGGCGCTGCCCCACTGATGCCGCCGCATCGATGATTATTTTTCCACAAAACAAGCCCACATTCGAGTGCCTCGAATATAGATACTTTGGTTGAGTTTCTATGGCTGAAATGTATTTGAATATTGGTTTAAAACAGCCCTACACACACGTATTATGCGCATAAATATGTGTGGCAAACGACGCCTTTTTAACCCCGCGACTTGATTTTATATATTCAGCTTTTTTATTTTGTTGTGTCTGTCCCGATGTGACGTCACTGTCGTTGTTTACATACCCGTTATTGTTAATTTGCAAATTGCATTTTTACTTTTTATTAGAATACACCGCTGCATGCTTTCATTTTTGTACGGTTTGTATGCCAATGCAGGAAAAATTGGAAAATTGCATAAATAAACGATGGGCAAAAGAGGGCCGAAGATGAAAATGCGGTGGCATGTGTGTGGGCAGTTGGGCCAGAAAATTATTCAACTTTAGCCGCGAGAAATGATGAAATAAAATGCAATAAATGCCCATACAAAACCCATAAAAATGAGCAAATAAAAAGTGTTGCACTAATGTTTGCATCCAAAAATAAAAATTTAAATGATTCAAATAAAAATACAATATAACGTGCAATTATTTGTTTTTAAAATTGGTTTTAATAAATGTCTTAATGAGAGTTTAACGAATATCTTACGATAGCGTTTTAGATACAAGGTTTCTGTAAAAAAACAACATGTTAGAAGAATTTTGTTATTAACTTTAATATATATTTTATAATTATTTTCCTTTAAAACAACTTATTTATATTAAAACCTTTAAGGGTACAAGAAAATCGAATTAAAACCGTCATTGTGGTATAAAAATATTTGCTTTAAATACTTTATTTTTTTAATGTTTTCATTTTATTGTTTATGCATGTTTGTGTCCAACAATATATTATTGTTATGCATAGAATTTGTTGAGTAGCTGCTCTGCATGAATATAGACAGTGCCATAAATTGACGTCTATATTAAAGCTTTGTGGACATGGGTACATATATATCCGAATCTATATATAGTATATACACTAGAATAAAGAGAAATGTTTACCGCCGGAGCCAATGGAGGCATTTGCTTATGCATCCATTCGATTTGGTTTTTCTTTTTTTGAATTTTTTTTTTTCAAAGGCGGCTGCGTTGTCAGTCAATGTAGCCAAATTAACAACCGAATGGTTGTTGCACGGTTTTTTCGTGTGCGTGTCCTCAAAAGTTGTTGGCTCTTTCAGATTGTCATGCGTTTTAAAAATAGACAAAATAAAAATATTCTGGACAGAGCTGCGCACTTTGAAAATACAAAATAAGATTTATGGTTTACGGTACTTGGCTAGAAAATCATTAAATTCCCAAAAAGCAATCAATCAAAACAATTATGAATTAAGAAATTGTCAGCATGCGAAATTCGGCAGGCTTTGTTTAGTGAATCATTTATTTTTCAGGCAGCCTATTTTGAAATTCTAAAATTCAAAAGAAATGGCTCCCAAGGGACCGGGAAAAAAGAAAAAGGAGGTAGACTGGGCCGACGAGGAGCATTTCAGTAAGGAGCGTTCGATGATCTACATTGAGCATACGTACGAGTGTCCCATTTTCCAGACCAAGGCCGACGAGTTTGGCTCGTTTCTGCAGCAGAAGATTCCGGAGCGCAAGTTCCAGCTGGTGAAGAACCGGTATGGTCACCAGGTGCCCCGCGAAGGAGCCTTCGAGATAGGCTTCTCGCAGAATGCCCGCACCTCCACGCATCTCCTGTGGTCCGGTCTGGAGCGGGGTCCTCCGCGTCGGGATAAGTTTCCCGCGGACTACGAACTGCTGGTGCCCGATGTGAACAGGATACTCAAGAAATTCTATCCCGACAAGGCTGTGGGCGTGCTCGACGAGGATGATGGGGACGGGGAGGCAGAGGACCTGTAAACCTGTATTACAAATATATTTTCGAAATTATTATTAAGTCTTTACCATAACAATGGGCATGATAAGGCGTGAAAAGTAAACAATCAGCCAGGGGGAGACCTGTTGGAGCAACTTTAAGACGTCATCCACCCACGTTAAATGCTCAGCGATTAGTGCGATTCTTGTTTGGCTTTCGGCTTTTGGCTTTTGTGTGGAATATTGCTCTTATTGTTGCTGCCACCCACCCGGGAACTGACGTCCTGACATCACCAGTTGACAGCTCTTTTCAAAAGTTAAATGCTTAAATCGACCAGAATAATTAACCAAACACAATACTCGCACATCAGCAGTCACCCGTAATGTTCGTATATATATGTATATATATATATATACCCCATAGTTAAATATGTATATTCAGCATGGCCCGGGGACATTAGCGACGTCCTATTGTCTGCCAGAGAAATCAAAGCGACAGCATCGGGGATTGTGGTGGGTGACACTATCTCGTTCGCTCGGTGTTGACACAACAAATAACCGAACACACAATTCCAATGCACACAATCGAAAAAGAATAGTCGAAACATTTTAAATTGAAAGCTGAATTTGAAACAATAGATAGAAGGCATGCGATTTGCAAGTTATATCTTGAATACTCTAACAAAAACCCTTTCATCCTTTAAGTCTTATATTAATTTCTGATTTTATTTCGCATTTACATCTTCATTTAAAAGTAAATAAATTCCAAATGCATTGCCCAGTAGTTCTTAAAGTTTGCATAAAGCCCATGTTATACAATACCAAATAAATCGCTGCTCGTTGGGTAAAACCATTTTCCTTACTAAAACCCTTAGATAAGCCCTTTTGCCAGTGTGTTGCCTCAAAAGAAAGAGAACACATCCATTGCGGATGAATTTGAAAATTGCAATGTGGCAGCAGCACAATGGCCAGCAAGCTAGGAAAGTGGCTGGAAATAAATAAATTGGGAAACCAAAATAACATCGACAAAGGGCCACACAATTTTTCCCCATTGCGAACCGTCGAGGGGAAAAGCCAACAAGTCGTGAAAATCCAAAGCAAATTACATTGTTGGCCAACAGCAATGACAATAACAAATACCATGCAGCTGGGGGCTAGCTGACCCTTGGGGCTAATACTATTCCTATTCCTATTACTATTCGTATTCCAACATTAAAACTACGAGAAAATGTTGCAGTGGAAACAAAACAGGACCGGGGTATCCTTTCTGATGATTATGTGTGTGCAAATGCAAAACTATGGCCAGAGTTTTCCTCGCTTCGGATCAACATGCAAATTAGCCTGGGTTGCAGATGGTTTTTTGATTGACCGTTATGGTGGCTGACTTCCAGCCATGTTTTTGACGGAGTGCAGGGGCTAATTTGAATATTACGTATACGTCATGCTCAGCAAGGAATTACAGGGCGCTGTTTTGTTTCATTTTGCCTTGACCACCGGACAAAAGCGATAAAGCCAACTTTTGCACATATTTAGCGCACATCATTAATATTAATATATAAAGGCTGGTAAAAAATGGCGGGCAAGCCAAAAACGCAGCCAAGAATAACAAAAGCTGAACATTTTTCGGGCGGCATTCCGATGATTTCAACAGATTTTATGCGACCGGCACAAAGAGATGTCAGCGGTACATTATTCGTGTCACAATTTATTTGGGGGCAGCCAGCGTCATCTGGGGAAGTGGGTTAATGTCCAGCCCGGCGAATGGCCATGGATATGCAGCCCGATCTCTGGAGGTGGAAGTGGATGTGGATCTTGGGCCCTGCCCGCATGTGTCAGCTGTCACTGGGAAATCGAAGGGAAAACCACACGCCAAGGACAAGCCAGGACGATTGCCAAAAGGGCGAAGTAAAAGGAGCTTTAATGGAAACAGACCGCAACATTTTGCATTAGAGTGCGAGTGCTGGTGCAATTCCCGGCCAAAAGCGGAAGTGGAGCGGGAGTAGGTGTTGTTGGCCCGTTGGCCAAAACCCGTTTGGCAATGCCAGCCAATGCCGTCCTGATGTAAAAATAATCTACGCAGGCAAACCGAAATGTTGTGTTATTTTTGAGTTGCATTCCAGAGGAAGAGGAGCATCTCGTTTCCGTTTCGTGATGCCTCGGGATGGCGTTACATTCGGAGCACGTTCAGTGTGCTATCAATAGCTCTATCTATCCAATATGCCATATCCCATATCGTATATCCCATATGCCATTTCCTTCATACCCATTGCTTATCCATGGGGGTGCAACAAATTGCAGCCGGATTTAAGGGCCATTTATTTAGCAGCGATGCGAAGGCGAATGGCAAATGCCAGATGCTGCCATTTTAGGCTTTGGCATTTGTTTTATCGCGCCTAGTCGAGGTCGTACTATATGTGGGCATGTGAACGGTGAACGGAGAAGGGTGAAGGGTGAAGGGTGAACGGTGTTAACCGGGCCAAATCCCCATTTAATGAGCCAGCTGAATTGGCCTTTGGCTGATTCCACGCTTAACTGGCTTGCAGATTGCATTTGTCACACCTTAATTAACCAGCTGCGGATGCGAGGAAAGGTCAGGCGTCTCCTTTCCTGTTCATTTTTTTCTTCTTTTTTTTGTGGCCTTCTGAACTTTAACCTATTTTCCCTGGGAGCCTCGTTCTATTTACATGCGTGGCGGCCATAAAAGATTCGGTTTTCCTCACTTTGTTGCCCCGTAGATGATGATTTCTTGGTGGCAAAAGCGGAGACTGAGGAATCAACTAATTAAGCGTAAATTGGCAGCCACAAAATAGGGTTCCCATCAAACGGCTCGGTCCAACGCCCACCAGCCAACTGCCAACTGCCTTGGGGCCACCCACATTGTTACTCTTGTTATTAACATGAAATTAGTTTTCGGCTAACGCTAATTAAAATTTACGACACCTGTTCTCTTTACAAAATATTAATGCTAAAACTCCCAAAAGATCCGGGCAGCTTAAAACGCTTAATCACAGGATCAAAATGCTAAGGTAAACAAAAATAATATTTTTCAAATTTTAAGTTTTGACGTTTACTGTTTGGTTGGCTTAAATAAAAATGGCAGGATAAGCTTTATTTAATCAAATGATTTTATTGGCTGGGGCTATTGGCTATATTAATTTAAAACCAATTAAAAAACATTTAAGATTGATTAATGACCAATTATGAAAATTAAAACATAAAAATGTTTTATAAAGACCTATTAAAATACTGAAAAATAAAGAAATTAAATTTCATTGCGGCCCACAAAAGTCTGACCATGAAAACTTACCCTGAGTATACGTATTCCCACTCCCCAGTCTATAAATAATGAAAGGCACAAAATTCGTAATTACTGTAAGAAATGATCTGAAATACACAAAGAAAATTTTACCTGATGCTGCATAGAAAATTGTTTTTCCCATTGCCACAATTGGGACAATGTCTGGGCATTCCAAATGAGCGCAAATAAAACATTGAACTTTTTATACTGACTGAGGCTTCGTTTTTATTTAATTTTACATATACTTCTGTTGCTGTCATATGTATATATATAATCTCATAAATTAGTTTGTTGTGTATATATATAGAGATTTTTGTTGGTAATACATTTTTTTCCTTATGCCGCAAACGCATATAATTAAATTTCAATATTAATAATGGTATCGTTTGTTTTTTTTTTTTTTTTGTCGTTCCTATTTGTTTTGGGGTTGAACTCGAATCCAGTTTGTTTGGTTCACCAGTTGGAAATAAATATATCTGCATGTACCTATATGTATTTAGACTCGTAGGCAAACTGAAGTAGGTTTTTATTTATAACCATACACATGTACACATCTATATTTCTGGTAGTTCTTGCCGGAGCCGCAGTTGTCATACTACACCCACTGTTCTGTATATTCCGCAGCCGACTCCATTTCATTTACATTATACATTTATAACCATAATAATTTACAAGTTAAATGGCTTAGAAATTATTAGTAGGACTTCCTGTGTGGGCTACCATACGTACATAATACATAAAACACTTTCTAATTAAAGTTAAAAACATCTTCCTTTGGTGGCCTCATCATACTTCGTTCCTGCTCTTTTCGTCCTGTTTTTCTCTGTTTGTGTTCGATTTGGTCTATTTACATAGTGACAATTTCTAAATTACTTAGACTTCGTTATAGCCTTCCACTTTGTTCTGTATTTACATTGCATATCGATTGAATAAAATGTTTCGCAGACTTTTCTTGACTTTTGGTTTAAGTTAACATAAGAACGTTAAAGGAAAATCCCTCTCCAGGTTGTTAGGTATATATATTTTGGTATTTAACATTTAAAAACTAATTTAGTTAAAATACTTTTAATTTTAGTTCAAACTGGGCGTTCCATTTGGTGCATTTAAAAATAGTGCAAAAATACATTTGTCAAAAATTTTGGTGCATACTTTGAGGCGGTGCTATATAATCACAACATTTACAATTTAAGTGCATTTGCTTGTCAGTGTGTCTGTTTGGTGTGTGTGTGTGAGTGCGGGGGTGGGTGTGTATGGGGTATGTGCAGATAGTCTAGACCTAATTAAACATCAGAGTCGAACTCATCGGCCTGCTTGAGTGGTGTTTTTGTGGAGATTCCGCTCAAAAGTGTCAATTGAGGACGGATTGCTTTTAAGCCTTGATTGTGTGCATGTTAAAGGGAATGTATGTCCGAGTTTTGGGGCCTATTCTATTCGGAACTCTCCTTGCGGCCTCCTCCACATACATTTCGATTTGCATTAAGGTACTTGTGACTACTTATGTTTATAGCTCGAAAATATTCTTTTGATTCCATTTAAAACGGGCCATACCTGATGATTGGGATTATGACTTCGCCCTGTGCGTCCAAAGCTAAACGAGGGTGTTCGTGTATGTCTGGATGTCTGAAATTCGGGATCTTGGTGCCGTGGAAGACTCTCGAGGGCCAATTCCTCGATTAGTTTGCTTTCCTCATCGCTCGGAATATCTTTTTATTTTTTGTGGTGCTGATTCGTGCAATTACTACAACAACGATGCACATAAAATAGAATCACTAATTAATCAGGATCGAATACGAATTCAGGTGTCCTCGCTATCATCATTATTTTTAGGTAAGTGCAATTGTGGTGCATTTCAATACATATAATTTATGTTTTTCCCTTTTTGATTTGGTATAATTAATTATCACATAAAATGTGCAACAGTGCAAAATTGTTTATGCTAATTGTTTGTCTCATAATTTGTCTCGCTAATTGTTTCAATTGAACATAAATTAATAGAGCTGGCGACAGTGTGTGTGTAGGTTGTTGTGGAATTTTAATGAATTACATGAATACTTAATGGTATCAATTTAGGTTGATAAATAATATTTGTGTGCCACAAATAATTGCAAGTAAATTAGATGATAATTTGAAAAGAGTAATTGAATACATTTTGGAATAACAAATAAAAGAAAAATTAAAACAGTTTTAAAAGCTACTTCTGAAGCTAAGCTACTGAATCCCCTTTAGCTGCACCACTTGTTTTAAACGCTCTTAAATTCTGCAAAATACTCAGAGGCTCTTCACTTTCGAATTGACTTGTGTGTTGATCAAATTGCATTTACGAACAATTTATTTTCGGCAATTTGCATACAAAACCTTGCAACAACGTATTGGAAAATATTTGTATTTTGCATTTCACTTTGGATTGTTTTTAGACAGACAGTTCTAGCGACTTCATTTGGTTTTTGGTGGTGAGCGATAATTGTTTACTTGTGAGCGGAGTAAAAGTGGCATTAAATTGCATCAGTGGCTCTGGTTGTTTAAGCATTAAGTCCGGCTTTTTGTGGCATGTGGTCATAAAAAGCTGGCCCGAATCAATGACTACAACACCTGACGCACATTGAAGGTCACTTTAAGTCGATGTCTGTGGGCTGTGGCTTGTTAATGTTTCTCGTTGTTTCAGCTTTGTATGCAGCCTCCAATGCCTTAATAAATTGCCTGGAGCAAAAGTTTTCGTACACAAACTTTTCAACGTTCTTTCAGGTGCAATCTTAGATCTTACTAAACACGGATCTACATCAAGTACATATATTAATCTGGTTGAATAGTATTTTTTAAGCGATGGCCAACACTTTTGTGCTCAGCAAAAGCAGCAAGTTTATATAATTACCTCTTGCAGGTATACTCCTAATTTTACTAACATTTATACTTAATACGTGGATAATAGTCATTTAAATATATTTTTTCTTAATTTTTTTCCATTCGCTGACGGCTTAGAAGCTTTGTCAATTTCAATTTCAAAATCTCAATACCGAAAATATGCATTTCGCCAAACCTATCCTTGTTTTCTCGCAAACATTTGACATTTACTTTCATTAAAGTTTACGTTTGTGCTGTGACTTATTTTTCTGTATTTTACTTGGGGAACAATATAAAAGTAAAGCTATTTTCTAGACCTTGTTGAAAAGTTTGTCTGACCGCCAAGTGAAGAGCTCTATGTGGCCAAAGGACTAGGGCACCCAAGAGTGCCCGTTGTAACTTACCAAACGGCATGCAACAAGGATCCAAGGATTCCTGGGATAATCTCAAACTTTGCGGCCTCAGGTGTTCTTCAGCAGGGAAATAAAAGCACTTTGGGAAATGTTCTTAGCTTGCCACAACTAAGAGCTGAATTACGAACTCAAAAGGGTAAATATGTGCACTATGTTTTCGAATCCATGAGAAGGTTATAGGATGATATTTGATCGCCTGCATGTGTGTTCAACTTACTTGTTGTGAGTGTTGTTCTGGTGTCGTTGTTGTTGTTTTGGTGTAGAGAAAATTATATGTAGTGTAGCTAAGTATTCTGGAAATTCTTGTGAGAGAGTAACAAAGTGAAAATCAGAAATGCATGTTTGGGTTTCGTTTTCAGTGTATATTAAGTTGTGTATTTGTTTTTCATTTTTTCTTCGTTTTTTTTTTTGTGTATTTTCTTGTTTTTTTCTGCATTATCATATATTCGTATAATATATAATTAATTATTATAAGTAGTTAAGAAACTGTTGTTAAATTAAAAGGGGGAATTATGCTAAAACTAGACCTCGTTCACCAGTGAAATTAGTGTGAGAAAGATAGAGACAGTTACAGCGAGATCAAAAAGAGGCTGGCGAAAATTATTTACAGCAAATAGTAATTAAAGGGAGTTGGGTAAGACGAAATCAATAAAATTGATAGACCGTGTTTTCGTTTTCGTTTCTTTCGATTCGACAATTTGTGCAAATGGCATTCGGATTTTCTGAATGCCATTTGCTGCTCATAGTTAATTATATTCTCCATCTTTCTCTTTGATCTTTTGTTTCTAAGTTTCATTTTTCGTCTGCGAATATACAAATACAAATAAATACAAGTTCAAGGGCTGTCGAGTGTACTATATATTCTTAAATATATGTTTATATTTGTATGTGTGTGTGTATGTACCTATGGTTGTGTGTATATGTGTATGTATTTGTTTAACATTCAACAATTGTTTTTTTTTTTTTGTTTTTAGCTTTATATTTTGTATTTGCCCTTTTTTGGATTTCCCCTCGCTACTTTCTCTTTACGTGGTATTCAAAAAATAAATTTAAAACTAAATACTCTACAATTGTAAAACGTTTTAAAATTAAGAAATAAAGATTTTCCACTAATTTAGACGTAATATGTTTATTTACAAATTCTTGTTTTATACACAATACTGTTTTCTGTGAGAGCGCACAAGACGCAAAAGGCTTAATTAGAAAAATAATCTATTTCTTCAATAGGCTGGAAATTATGGAAATCAAACGAAAATGTATAGAAAAGATAATTGAAACATTATTAAAACGATCTTCGTTAGTACTTCGTTCAGTTGGAACCTAAAATCAATTTAAATTTACTCTTCGCTTTTGTTATTTACAGTCGAACTTGTGTCTTTTCATTTGGGTTTGTCCTTATAGAAGTTGTCGTTTTGCTTTTAAAATTTCGTTCATGTTTTTGTTAGGATTATAGAAAAATAGGCCAAAAATATATGTATTTGTATGTCTGTGTGTGTGTGTTTTCTATACCTTTACCTCAATTTTCGTTCGTTCAAAAAATGTGATTAAAACTTTTGTTCGTCTTTGATTTGTTTTCGGGTTTTGTCCTCTGGTTGTAGTTGTTTAGTGCGCATTTGTTCTTCTTGTTTGGATTTTCAATTTGTGCATAATTTCAAGGATTACAATTAATTGCATATACATACATTATTCGTGTTCGTATTCGTATTCGTTATGGTAGTTAGCTTTTACTTAGAGTTATACACACGTTGTCTTGCGTTAAGTATTTTCGTATGGTATAGAAATTGTTATTATTAATTTACTTTCATTTATATTTAAAGGTGGGTTATTTTGCAGTTATTTATGTAAATGTTTTACTGAATCATTCAATTAAAAGAAAACACCAAGTTTGTCTCCTATTTATACTTTTCGGTTATCGGTTAATAACGAAGATCGTTGATATAGGAGGGCAGGAGGTTGGGGATCGATGTGAAATAAAAACTTATTCGTAAACGTATTCTCAATTAGATTTATATAATTTGTTAGCAATTTTATATACGTACTGTGTATAAGATATGAAATTTTATTGCTCGCAATTTCATATGTTATTCCGTTTTAAATAAGTAAACATGTCTGCGTTTTCGCACAAACACAAAACGATTAAGTAACATGCATACGTTGGACCGAGTAAAATGTACAGAAATAATCGATTGATTGCAACTCCATTAAGTCAAGCGTTGTTAAAATATGCATATTATGTGTCTGGTAAAATTAAAAACGGAAATCGAACTCGAAACTTGGAGGGAAACGCAGGAAATGCAATGCGTGAAAATCGCTTTAGAGGATACTCGATATTATTGTTATTTTGCCATTTATTTTCTCGCGTCCATCTATCCATTGTTATTTGTTTGCGTACACAACCGTTTAAAAATTTTAATTCGTAAATTTCGGCTTAAAAATTTGCTTGATTGTATTTCTTAATTGATTGATTGTGTTGGGAACTCGCCCCCTTTACAGGCATAATAATAATGAATAATTTTCATTGACCAGAACATTATTGGCTTAAGGTTGAATTTTAAGCGTTTCCAATTGGGAGAACAGCGAGAATAGAAACATAGAAAATGATTAGGAATAATAAGAACTGTGATTTGGATAAAAGGACTGGATTAGTTTTAGTAAGCATTTTTACAAGCTTTTCGTTTCGTTTCGTTTATAAGCTTATCGTTTTTATGTATATTTATAAGTCCATTGTTATTTAAATATACTTTAATTATGTAAATAAATTTACTTAACTACAGATAGCTGCCATTTCCGTGAGAACTGTTGTCACCCATGAAAGAAATAAATAAATATCTTTTGTGGAGTTCGGCGTAATCTTTACAGGCAAATAAACATATTAATTGAAAGTATTATTTACACACATGAAGGAAATAAAAACGGAGCGAATCATCTGAAAGGGCGGACGTAGTTTTAATAATGAGATAACTTTAAACCAAAAGACTTAACGTTTTGAAGCCTCAACTATCGAACAAAACTGGGTTTTATATGAAGTCAAGTCTTTTTCTTTATGTAAATGTTTTGCTTCATCTTCTAAGTTGTAAATGTTTTTTTTTGTCGCTAATCTTGCTGTTATTGCATTGTATATAAGTATATTATATTGCACTCATTAGCTTGTTCAGTTATCAGCAATAAAACCTAATGCAATATTTTCCTTCAATTGTATATTTGTTTGTTATTGGTATATGTATACTATTAATATATATTTAATGTCTGTTTTTTCTGTGTATATGTATATATAATTTCATTCTTCTTCTGCTCGCTTGCTTCCTCATGTTTTTATCGCTTTTTTTCTGCTTGCTTCGTTTTGATTTCATTTCTTTTTGTTTATTTAACATTTAAACTTTAATACACGTATAATTAAATAATGTACACGAAATATATTTCATATAGTAAGATATATTTATAATATATTTATTTAATGTATACTAAAAATAGTTAGGCCCAATTTTGTTTTTCCTCATTATCTTCTCTGTTCCTGCGAAACAAATTTCAAATGAACGAAACAAAAAAAAAACAGCTTCGATTTTGTCTTATTTTTGTTGTCCTTTTTTTTTTTTGTTTTGAATTATAATTTAGCTTTAGTATGTATAACTGCGTTTTTTTCTTGGGCTTTCATTAAGTTAATGTTTAATAATAATAGTGTAATAATAATCATACCTTCTCATTAAGCATAATTGCTGCCTCATTTTGTTTTTAATCATAGCTTTCTGTTCTCTTACTTGGCAATCCATTCAGCTTTTTGCAAGCTGCATTTTTATATTCTTTTTGTATAGGTTTCTGTTTTTCTGGGGAATTTCTTGCGAATTTTAAATCTCTCGTCAAAGGACAGGCGGGTGGTTGGCTTGTCTATGTGTGTGTGTGTGTGGGTTTATGTGTTAGTTCTTTTTGAGTAACGTTTAAACTTAATAGGGTTTTTTTTTTGCTTTACTTGGGACACGCTAAAACTAATTTTTTGTCAATAATGTTTAAAGAGAGTTCTCTAGTTGTATTTGTTTGGGGCGTGTGTGTGTGTGTTTAGAGAGAGTGTGTATCAATGTGTGGTTGGTGGGTGGACAGAGCTTAACGCCCTCGCGCCCAGCGCAGTAACGCATCCGCTAACACATCCAAGTGAGCCTTCGTCTGCAAAAATAGTGAAAAGAAAAGGCCATTAAAATGCGATGACATTAAGCATACGCCGCATGGGCTCTCCGTTGAACTTACCGTCTTGTAGAACATGCAGGATCTCCGGTCCTCGTCCTCGCCGTCGGGACAATCGATGAAGCCATCGCACAGCACATGATCGTCTATGCAGCGGTATCGGCCCTGCCGGTCGGGAATCGGGCAGGCAAACCGCTCCATGCCATCCATGGCGGTTGGACACTCTGCAACGAGAACGCAAACAAAAACGGTTGACAGTCAGTCAAAATGGCTTTCGATTGTTCGTTAGCTGGAGGAAAGAAGTTGGAGCAGCAGCAAGAAGAAGCCCAGGTAAGAAGCCCCAAACTTTTCCCATAAATCGTTCAGTGCAAAAACTTTTGCACACGCTAATGTCTGCCATGATTTGCGTCCAAATGTTGCAACTTGCGAACCGGCGCATATAAGTATGCTATGCTTATTTTTTTTCCACCCCAACTGCATTTGTTTGTGTGGCCGCTTAGCAGGTTTTTGCTGTTATAAATAGTTTCACATTCGCTACTTTACTACTTTCTGCGGCTGATTCGCCGGGAGGGGAAATCCAGCGGGGAAAGTCGGGTGGAAAATGGCTGAGTGAAATCCAGGCTTGGCTGGCTTCGCCTGCACCGACGCCGCCGCCACCGCCGGCGAACAACAACAACAACAGCAAACTGAAATACAAACTTTACTTTTTGTGGCATTTCACTTTGTGCGCTCGCCTTTTCTCCATTCTCGTGTGCCATTTTTTTCCGCTGCCTTCTACCAACAAATACATAAAAATAAATCACTTGTAGGACATGTTGGCGCCTCCGGTTTAGTTTTGCTGCCACTGCCACATGTGTATGTGTATGTGTATGTATATGTGAATGCCGGTTGCATGTTTGTGTATTGTCAGTGTAGGTTTTCCCACCCACTTTCCCGCACCCTTTTCCCAAGTTTCCCCAATTGCCATTTCCGCCATTCGCCTTGCTCTTGCAAAACTTTCCTGTGCTATTTTTGGCTGCATCCAAAATTATTCTGTTCTTTTCTAGTCTGCTCTGGTTTTTGCCACGCGACCAGCTTTGCCACTTAATAATTGTGTATTTTATTTCTGCTTTTCCCGGAAATGAAAATCACTTGGCAAGGTGTTTCAAGCTTCACTTTAACATGATAATGATTAAATAAACTATCATCGTGTGGTTGAGAGAACTTATTCTATTTATTAAATTTATCTGCCTCCCGAAAACTTTCTGATTATTTCTAAGCTTTCATATTTCCTATTTTTCTTCTTTCTGGCTTAGATGTCTGCTTTTCTGCTGTTATGGTAAAATAGTTATGAAACAAGTATACTGCTGACTATATGAAATTGTTATGAAATAAATATACTGCTGTCTATATTTAATTGTAATGGAATAAATACATATATTTCTAGTCAGACTTATTTATATTTATTTTTAGTACCTAATATATATGTATAATTAACAAGACTATTAGCATTATGCTGTCTATATGAAGTTGTTAATAAATTCATTTCCATGACAGGCTTATATACAATTTCAATTACCTATACATTTATTTAGCATGATAATGATTTAATAAACTATTAAACTCTGGTTGAGTGAACTTATTCAATTTATTATAATTTTCTGTCCCGCAAAAACTACTTTATTGTTTTTGGACTATCCCGTTCTCTATCATTTTATGTTTTGTGCAAATTGTTATTTCAAACTCTTGTTGAGTTCTATTAAGTAAATTGTTCCGCCTCTCAAAAGCATTCAAATTTATACGATATAAATTTCAAAATTGTTATTATAGGCCAAAGCATATTCTAAATTGGCTGTCTCTATAAATTGTAAAATTGTCGTTCGTGTGAAACTGTGTGTTTTTTGCAACAAAACAATTCAGAAATGTGTATACAATTTGCATAAATGTTTGTTATCATTGTCACAACCTGCCATGCTAATCAAATAGGGTGATTCACTAGCAGCTGCTGTGAGCTCACCTTAAATTAATTTTATTTTCTTTGCACACGCTCCAGTCGTGTCAAGTGCATTCCATTCATTAAGTTGATCCGTCTGCCCGAAACTAACATAAGTGGTGCTAGCTGCCAGCTGCCAGCTGCCTTTCAGCAGTTGTCAGGTTTGTTTTGTTGCAACTGCGAGTGCGATTGCAAATGCAAATGCAAAATCACCTGACAAAGCATAAATGTGAGCAGTGCATCAGTGGCATTGGCAGAAACCCGACACTCGACTGTTTGTGTCTCCCCGTTGGGTATTTTCCATTGGGTGTGGGTACTGCGACTCCCCGTTTCGACGGAATGTTGTTCGGCTGTCAGAAAGGAATCAATTGATGTCTCTTTCTGCCAGCCGCCAGCTGCAAGTTCGCTTCGTTAGGCACCTGACTGCGTCTACCTTGCCGGCTTTTCCTGGCTTTTTCTGGCTTTTCCTGGCTTTCGACTCCAACTGCGTGGCGTGCCAAAGAGCCATTTGCATTTTGAAGAGCGGCCACATCTACTGCGCCACGTTGGCTACGTTTACGGTTACGGCTACGGCTGCGCTTACGATGAAGATGATGATGGCGATGATTCAGTTAATGGTGCCTAGTGAATGGTGAACGGCGATGACAATGTCGACGCACCGCAGGCGCTTCAACCGATTGCCATTTATCAACTTCGTTGGACGCCGCCGCATAATTGCATCAATGGACACTTGGGCACGTTTTAACTTTCGAGGCGTATGGGGGTGGGGGGCTGCTTTATGCAGATTTCTGCATATCTGCATACATTACGCATACGCAGTGTAGTCGCGCAACCAAAAATCCCATTAGTTTTATTGCCAGCGAAGGAGCTGCTGTACTATATCGGGCAATGCTGTTGTTTCTGCAACCCACATTTTGTACTTTGAACTTAATTTCACACACAAATAACTTGCAAATTGTTGCAACGTTGTAAAGTTGAAGGAAATTTCGGTCGCATTTGCTAGCTTGCTCTTTTTTGGGCCAAGTCAGCCAAGTTCCCAACCGCTTGCACCACCCCCCGAAACCAGAGAACCCACTGAACTCACCCACTCAGTCAGTCAGTTAGCTAACTGCTGAGGCTATTGAACTTTAAATTGATTTTTGCGCTTGTTTGCTAGTTCTGTTCGTCTCCTTTCTCCGTTCGGGTGGCTTGAATTGCAGCTAACCGGTGGGTGGCAATGGGTCTGCTTTAGTTCTGGCTCTTCTGCTGCTTCTGGTGGTGCTTCTGACTCGGCTTTTGCCTCCGGTGGTGCTTATCGTTGTTGCAATAAATCGAAACAAGCGACACCACCTATTATTCTGCCTTGGAACAGGGTGAATGGCATACTTTCTGATGGACGGGCCAAATTAATACATATATTTTATTTAGCGATAAACAATCAAACTTCCATAACTGTGTCAGATTGAATATTCGTGCAGAAATAACTTTGAAATAATCGTCTTTTCCTGTACTTATTGAATGCCATCAATAAAAATTCAAGCTACCAAAGAAGGTACTTATTCAAATTAAATGATGCCACAAAACTTTCAATCACACGCCTAAAGGAATGCTTATAAAATAGTTGTCATTGCCCTCTTTTAAAAACATTTTTATGGGGTTTAATCATTAACATCTTAATTATCCAGTAAAAATAGGTATCGACCAATGACAACACTTTATTTCAACTATGTTCTTGATTTCAAACTAAGCACTGCACAAGCTATATTCCTTACTCCATACTTTTATACAATTTTAATTTCAAACGATAAAGGCAGAAAAAGAAATACTCGCACAGTTTTTTTTTACAGAATGCCAAACAACATCGCAGATAGCTATAATCACATGTCAACAAGATACACTTGCAATATCCGATGGAAATTGTGAAACTTCTTTTGACATTCGAGTGCATCTTTCTTGCTATGCAAATCAGCATCGCACGAGGCAACTGTACCCAAAGTTTCAGCATTTCAGCCATTCCAAGCTTAAGAGAATGAACGCATGTTGACACTAAGACACCCGGGAAACAGCAACAACAATGGTGGCCAACAAGCCACAGGAACAACAACACGTCGGGTGTCAAAAAATCAAAAGCATAAAAAGGATTTGGCTGTTGCCAAGCCAAGGAGCAATAGCTAAGGCGATGACTATACACTCGAAGGATGGGGGCCGAAACTCGCTTTTAGCCAAAAAGTGCCAACTGATGCTATTTTTGTCGCACGACAGACGTATCCATCGTATACGTAATGCAGGAGCAGTGAGCTTTCGCGTGGAGTTCGTGGCGAAAAATAAGTCGCAAAAATTTGTAACAAAGTTCGCGTAGTGAGAAAACCTTTTGCTCCCACACATACACATAGAGAAAAAAAAGGAAAGATTGAGAGAAAAGTGGATGGAGGATGGGGGATGGAGAGCTGCAAACGCCTGTTGTCTCGTCACAGTGGCGCCTAAAAGGCTGCCAACAATAATAACAAAACCCACGAAAAGAGAGCAAGCTGCACACAGATGCAGTCTCTGTGTGTGTGCTTAAGTGTGGTTGTATGTGTGTGCGGAAGCGCCAGCCAAAGGAAACAGCGCGCAACGATTTTGCAGCAATAAATTGATAGTTTTATGTGGCGCACATAAACAGGAGCAGGCGGCAAAGAATCGAATAATGGTGGGTGGCAAGTCCTGGGACATTAAACTCGCGTCTTTACACTTACACCCCCCTTCCTTGCCGCCCACTCCACCCCACTCCATAGTTCGACCGTAAATAGCAAAAGGCAATGCATAAAACAAAAGGCTGAGCAAATTTATAAATGACAACTACAAAATTGATGGGCTTTTGCCATTCTGTGCGACCCTTCCATTGATTCCATGCTATTCTTGGCCATTTGTCGTGTTGAAAATTTCACTTTTTGGGCCTGACACATTTTCCTCCACTAACGTTGTCCTTTATCAAAACTGAACTCACTGTTTGTCAAGTTTCAGCACGAAAAGCTGGACGACCAACCAGCAGCAGCAGTAGCAACAAATTGAGGTGTTCCCCGAATAAAATAATAAGACGCTGCCTGTCATAATTTGTTCGTCTTTTTCCCTTTTCCATAGCCGTAATAAGGTTTTGATTAAATTTGTTGCTCAAATGTATTTGCCAGGCGAAAATCTTCCGTTTTGCTGTCTATTATTTTAGGACTTCTTTTGCCGGGGATCGTCTTTCTTCGGCGTTTTTGGGCTTGGCATTTTTTTTTTTTATTTTGGGTA